AGCATCAACATTAACAAATTCAATGTCATTATCTTCCCCGAACCCCTCAACTACACATGTATCAATGTTCACACCATAACTTATAATGGGTTTCGTGTCCATTACTGGGTAACTACTGCTGGGATGATTAACCTCCATGCGGAGTCCATTACCCTTTCTTCTAGATCTTTGAGCCGATCGGATATTTTCACAATATACTTGGGTCAATTGACTCTCGTATAAACCAATTGTCCCCACCACATCCATATATTTCGATCCATATATGTTTGGGTCTTGATTAGCATGCAAACTTGTAATATGCAAGTTTTGCATATCATCATGTTTGAAATTTAGAATCGATTCAATCTCAATATATATCTCCGTCCCATAACCACTATTGGCTTTCAAAAAAATACATTTTGTCAACTCCATTATCATCTATCAAGGATGTGGCACCGAACACACCATTTTGCATGCAATTCCGAAATATCAAGTTAATTTTATGAGTTTTTTCAGTTTAACTCCATCATATTATTTACAATGTCCACCAATCCATCAAAATTCACTCTTTCTGTGAGAAACGTGACCTTTTTGGACAACGACAGATTATATGATATTGACCCACCAGCATACACAATTTTTCCTCCCCAATAGAATTGCATCATCAAACAATTACCGCTTGACATATTTCACCTAATCTACGAAAGACGTTAATATAATATATATGTCACTGTTAACAAAAATGGAGTAAATTATACAATTTTATATTATTTTACCATAATTATTATACCTAATCAACGCATAGAATTTAAAATTTTTTATATTTTTATTTAAATTACATAAGCAGTCGAGTGATATATCTATATTAAGTTCAACCCTAATTAATATATCTATACTAAGTGTTTACATTCAACGCTAATTAATATATTTGTATTATGAACCAGTTCAACAGTATGTATTTAACATGCTACAACACTAATATGGAGCCTAAAAGTTTATTGATAAATTAATCATAAAAATTTTCTCTCCAAATAATTTAAAATATTAAGATATATTTGTAACTTTACCTTAATTTTGTAAAATATCTACACTAATTACCTTTAATTCAATATATGTGTAATATTAACAAATTTAATAGCATCTATTAACATATCCATATTGTCTGCACCTATTGTTTCAAATATTAATCATGTGGTAAAACTACATTAATTTATTGATAACTTTAATCATGTGTCAAAAGTATATTAATTGGTAATAACACTTAAATTTATCCTTTTGTAATAGGATGATTAGTGATATGGTAATTAATATCTAAACAAATAATTTACCTTACTAATTAATTAAGCTAATCACTAACTAACTAATTTGGGTTATCACATATTCGTCCACACACCTAATATTATACAATTCATTAATACTACATTCATTAATTTCAACTAATCACCATGCAACAACAAAACAATACTCTAATTTACCACGTCAATTAGAAAACACTAATATGGAATAAAATATAAACAATGTCATGTCATATTTAGATTTTACAAATAATATATAATACAACACAAATAGAATTCACATTAAAACATAAAAAACTATATTATATAATTAATAATCATGGATGACACGTTTCAAATTATGGTAAACGATATTTATGAATAATAATTAAAGAAATAGATAAGTATTTTACTTACTTGGTTATTGTTGTTTTTTCCTCGTCAATGATGGAGTGTCTGTGAGAATTTCGCCTGTCGAGACTTACAAACAGGACTGTTCAAATCAAAGACATTCTACTAACCAAATCCCAAGCCCTCTATCTCCGTCCAAATTTTATAGCTTCAAACTTCACAAAGTTAAGCTCGTCCAGAATGTAGCTAAGCTAAGCGCGAACTTCAAGGATCTCTGTCTCCATCCAAATATTGTTATAACTTCAGACATCATACACTTCACACAGCCAAACTCGAATAGAATGCAGAGGCTAAATTTACAGACATGAGAAATGGAGATGCGGAGCTCCGTTTATGATTAAAGGGAAGGGGGAGAAACGAAAGTCTCTGAGAAAAGAAGAAACGACTGAAATTGCGGTTATGGAGTTGGGAGTTGCTCTAAAGAAAAATTTATAAGTCAACGAATTGTACATTTCTCTAGCCCGTTGTGCCATGTTGGAGCCACTAGGGTGTCATAACTTGAGAAAAAAAAAAAAGGCTGCCTACGCCTGTCCCTAACACAAAACAGGCCAACAAAAATAAAGCTACAGTTCAAGGCGGTCAAAGGCTGCAGGCTTTTGGCCAATAAATTTTTTACATGTCTGGCAGATGCCTTGCTAGATATGTCTAAAAGGAAAGGGGCATAATAAACCAGGACGATCAAGAATCGCCAAGTGTTTTTTTATTGCACGCATCAACCTGACAATGATGAATAGCAACATAGGTTTCACGGAAAGGTTAACTATTCTCAAAATTAGCTTTTGGCAGTTGGAGGGTAAATTCTGTAGTGATAGTGAATGGAAATTATGAGAGATCCAAAAGGGGCCACTAACATTTAAGATTGGTCAAAGGGGCCATCTTTTACCAAACCTTTTGGGACCATATTTCACGTGAAAAAAACTATCAGTAGGGCCCTTGGAACGACAGTCAAAGGTTGCAGATATTCTAATTATCTGGTGCCCGTCACGCCTACATGGCTCGACGTATAAGAATTTTTTTTTTTAAAATGAGCAGCATCGCGCCAACATGGCGCGACGGCCAGAAATTTCTCACCCGTCATGCCAAGATGGTACAACGGGCATATATTGATACCAAGCTGCCAACCCACCATATTTGGCCGACTTTTTTGTCATCTAACAATATTCTAATCAATTAGCCTAAAAGAGGGTGTCTGATGCTTCCATCTAAGTGAACCATTTTTTTCTCTTTCATTTTAGCATATCCAGCAATACCTAAAATTTTTTTTTGTCAACCAAAAGCATCACAAAGTTCTTCAAATAACATTCAAAGATCGCCTACAAAATGTGTGGATGTGGTAAAGAGACACCATTTTGCACCTCTTGAACACTTGAAAATCCGAAAAGAAGATTTTATGGCTACTCAAATTACAATGTAAGAATTTTTCATTAATAATATGTTGTTATTGTCTTTAATTTTGCTCTGTACATAAATAAGTCAAAAAAATTTTAGACAGCCATATTTTCTTTTTATTCAGAACCGGCATACATGTGGGCACTTTTCTTGGGTAGATCCTAAAGTTTGTAGCAAAACAAAAGAAGAAAGTGCAGCGCTGCAATCTAGACTACTGGAGCAAAAGGAGAAACTAATGTACTTGCAAAGGGAGCATGAAAAATTGGCAAATGAGTATGAAAAATTGAAAAGCAGATATGCATCCTTAGAAACAAAAGTCTGTGTTTTACAAGCTGAAAACCAAGAGCTACAACAACAATACATGGTTGTCAAAGCTGCTCAATCTTCATCATGGAGAAAACACTAGCCATTACATTTCTGATTGCTAGCATTTTGTATATGTACTCTATTTCCGAACGAAAGGGCAAGAAAAAATTGTTTTATCTATCATAGTTGTAAGCACATTTATATGAAAGAAGATTATATTAAGTTAAAAGCATTTTACATATCAGATTACATCTTATCATATGTCTATGTACCACTCAAACAAAAGCCATTTTAGTAAAACCTAACCAAAACATGATAATAGAACATATCCAAATAATGGCAAAAAACAAAAACATAAGCCCATTTCTAGCATTGTTGCAAAACAAGCAATCAAGTAAGTAATAACAAAAATAGCAACTTTATTTTACTACACTACACATTCAGGTGTGTGTACAACTATTGCATGTCTAGATACAGTTGAAGATCCTTAGCTAGAGAACACAGCTTCTCCAAATCTAGTACTTTTGGTTTGAACCTACAATCATGGATAACGGATATCTTAGTGAAATACTACTAGGGATAACATGTCTTCATACAAAAGATTTGAACTCACCATTCTATTTTAGTAGCACCTGAATTGCTTTTCGAACTTCTAGTTTTAGCATCACCTGAATTGGTTATGGTCTTTTAGTTCTTGCTATAGTTGTTGCTTTTGAGCTTGTACTTGATAAGTTGGTGGTAGTTACATCAGTAGTTGTACTTAAATTGGCACCAGATATTGGTGTTCTTGTCCACTGTATTATTAATAAGGATAAATAAGTGAGCACGTATAAAATGACCATGCATGGAGAATTTTAAAATGTAGGCTTACCAATTGGGTTGGGGGCGACTGGCCAGTTTTTGAAATATTTGGAATCTGCATGATAAAAGCAGTTTTTAATCAGTGAATTCAGTTATAAATGCAAATAAAAGAGGAACTCACCATGTTAGAGTCAAATGGAATATATATTTTATTTGTTGATATCCCTTGGCCATTCCAAAGTCCAATGCCACATAGTGGGCCATTGTTATGGTCCCAACCCCTACCCTTACCCCTGCCTCTACCTCTATCTCTCCAATTAGCTCTAGTTGAGCCTCTTGCAGTAGTAGAATTAGTTATATCAGCACTCTTCCCAACACTATGATTCAAAACAGGCTCAACATTATTTCAAGAGTGGCCCCTACTAGCTCCTATTCCTACTAGCACCACTTTTTTTACCTCTATCTTGTGCTAGAAGTCTAGCAGCTCGTTTAGTAGGTCCTTATACTTTGCAACACATCAAAAAGTGACATTTAGATGTAGATATGAAAAACCTAACAAGTATATATTTTAGCTTTTAGCAATGCATTCACTAGTTTCTTTTGCCTTACAAATGAACAGCCAGTGACTTTGCAACTTCTTGTATTGTTGTCAGTATGACCACAATGACTACAGTGAATTGGCAGCTCTATTTTAGACAATTTTACAATATGTAAGTCCTCTAATGGAACCTTTCTTCACATTTTCTTAGGTCTACTCAGGACTTTCCTCTTATGAGGTGGGAATAGTGAATCAAAATCCATGTTCACCCAATTTGCTTGGTCTGACTTAGGCATAATAACTCATGAATATGCCTTTTTATATGTTTTCACTGAGTAGCAATTATCAACATATGCATACGGATTCTTATTGTCTTGCACAAGTCCAACACAGGCATGGACACATGGAATTCCTGTCATTTTCCACTCATTGCATATGCAAGACATTTGAACTGCATTAACAATAAAAGTTCTTGCTATATCAGTCACCTCATATATCTCTCTTGTGGATACAAGGGCATCAAATTGAGCTAATTGCCTTTTCCTCTCTTCAAGTTACTGACAAGTCCTCTGACAAATGTGAGACTTCACCTTCTGAATCCAGTCTCTTCTTTCTTGAAACCTGCACATTATTTGCCTTTGAATGGCTTCAAACATAGTCAAAATAGGGTCCTCCCTAGCATCTTTAATGTATCACATATGTTATTACTTAAGTGGTCACATTTTGTCTTTGGAGAAAAAGTGTGTCTGGCCCATAAGTTAGTTGGTATGGCTCTAAGCCATGCATGTGCTCCTGGTGCTACTATTTGCAACTCTCTCATTTTGCTTTCATAGTGACTGGACAAATAAGCTCTGGTTACTGCCCACATTAAATCTCTTAGCTACTTATCCTTGAATTTTAGTTTGAAGTTAGCATACATATGCCTAACGTAAAATCGATGCTCAACTCCGAGTACATATTCTTAATGAAATCAATTAATCCCTGACATAAAAAAATCATAGAATTAGTGACATGAGTGAGTGAGGAAAAAAGGAAAATAAAGCAAATTGTAGTGGTGCTAACCTTTTGTCTATCTGACAGAAATACCCAACCCCTTTCAAGTGGAGTCCCAATGGCATCAGTAAGGCTGTCCAAAAACCAACCCCAACTATCTTTACACTCAGATTCAACAAGAGCCATAGTAATTGGGAACATCTGATTATTAGCATCCTTACAAATTACAAACATAAGCTGCCCTCCCATGACCATCTTAAGGTGACATGCATCCAACCCTATTACAGGCTTACATGTATTTACAAAATCTTTCTTTTGTGTAGTAAACATCACAAACATCCTCTTGAAAATTGGGCTTTTACAAAGTTGGGATTTTTCAGTTACAAGAAATGCCACTGAACTTGGATTTTTTTGAAGAAGTGTAGCACAATAGTCTCTTAATCTTGCAAACATCTTTGCATATGACCCTTTGACTGCTTCCTCTGCCTTCTCCTTTGCTCTATACATTTGAGAGTTTGTACAGTTGAGGTTATACTTCTTTTTTATACTTTTCTTGAACCCTTTTACTTTCATACTATGATGGTCAACAATCTCCTCCATAAACATCTTAGACAGCCAACTAGAATTTGTACTCTTGTTCGTGTAAGACTAGACATTCATGAGGTAGGCCTTTAATGGACTTCACTTGGAGTGTAACTTTGCTTCCATTATAGAAACTAGCACATATTCTCCATCTACAGTTATTTGCACATATAGCTACAGCTTTATTTGTCATTCTTAGTGAAGGTGACTTCAAATCCATTCAAAATTAAATACATTCTAACTACAACTCTAAAATCATAAATGTTGGTGAAAATTCTACCCACAGTCAACTAAGGATTTTCCAGATCCCTTTCAATGTTAAACTCAGGAAATTCATGCACCATGGCTTCATCATTTGAATCATAAACTGGTTTAAGTATTTCATCATTACTAACATCTTCATTATCAACCATTTTCCCTTTCCCTTTGGAGTTAATGTATGGATTATATTCTTCACGAATCAGTTCCACATACTTAGTATAATCAGGTTGTTTTAGGTGACAATATACTACACTACCATCATTCCCTACATCATCTATAGGGTCACATGCATCATTTAAATGATCCCCATCTAGGAAAAAATCAAAGTCAGAGTCATATTCAACTTCCTTAGAACCATCCCCATCACCTTTATATGAAGCATCTGAAGTATCACTTTCGGCCTCATCATTTTGGGGTTGTTCAGCATTAAGATTCAGATTTTGTTCACCATCAACCTCAACATTATCTTCTACAATAATTTCATCAGCATGCATATCTTCTTCAGGGATCTCACCAACATAAGGTTGTATGATAGTTTGAGTTCTATTTGTCACAAACATTTCTAGAATTGTCTAGTCACTATTTAATAGCCTAAGACCAACTTGAAGGTCAAGATTCCCAACCCTGTAGTACATTGATGTTTCATATGGAATTCCAACTTCTTTAAAAGCATCTCTTAACTCAAAAATTGACATCAAATCAGGATCAACATCATCAACATTAGCAACTTGTCTCCCTACATATTGTAAATTTGGGACATGGGCCAAATGACCTCCATATTGAGCCTTTAAAACATGGGTTTTAAAATCCATTTTTCTATAATCACACAAACAAAGGCAACTTTTCAGTACATGCAAAGGTAATATAAAGCATATATCTTTTGCTGTCCTACAAAAAAAAGCTAGTTTTGTCTATCTAACAACCGACGTATAACCAAACAAAGTAAACAAATAATCCTACAAATTAATAATTAAAAAAGAAAAAAGTTGCTAAAAATCTATTATTTTCATCCCGACCGAATAATTAGGGGTGTCAACAAATCGAGTTGCTGGAGAAGAAGTAATCCGCTCGAGCTTGGTCAAATCGAGGTAGAGTCGATCTTGAATTATTCGAATATTCAAACAAATCGAATTCGAGCTGAAAAATGTAATGCTCGCTAAGCTCGCGAGCTTATCGAGTTTAAGGTATATTTAAATATATAAAATTTTATATTTATCAAATTACTTAGATATATATAGTTGTAAGCTTAATTAATGTTGTACCTATTAAAATTCAAAATGTAATAGGGGTATTCTTGTCTTTCCAGAGAATTAAAAAAAAAAAGAAATTCAGATAGTAGAGTCTAATTATGTCAATCAGCTTCGTGAATCTTGTCCGCCGTCTTCTTTCCTTGTGGTGAAGAGTTTCCTCACCTCAGTCCCTATTCCCTAATCCCAATTCCTCATCTCAGTTCCTAATTCCAATTTCAAATCAAACCCATTTGGGTTGCTAATTCCAGCCATTTCATTTTTCTATTGTCATCATCTGCCGATTGGAAGTGGATTGCGCAGCAGGTGCAACTAATGAAAGTGCGGATCTTGGAAGCAAGTGTAGCAAGTAAGATATGATCCTTTTTGTACTTCATGGCTTCAAATGCTTTTCAGTCTTTTGCTTATCTTGGATTATGCTGGAGCATATATTTATATCAAGTACTTTGAATGCTAGGGTTTCTATTGATTTCTGTTTCTTTTGTGATCCTTTCGGGGAATTTGTTGGTGGGTTCTCTGATTCATGCTTGTTTGGCATCCGGGTTCTTGATGTTTTGTGGTGATCAGTTTGTGTGACTTTGCATTGGAAATGATTTTCGACTTGGGGATTTTTTTTCTTATTTTTTGGGGAAGGAAGAGTGGCAGTTCTATTGGACGGATAAGGTTTGGCTACGGGGATATTATTTTCTTAGTTTCTATGAGGTCTCAAATTGATTTGTCTTGTTTTGGATAGACCATATTCAATTTTCTGAGTTCAAATATCCGTAGTTTGATTTATTAGGATATCTTACAAGTTTGGGCTGTTTCAATGTTCTCCTTTTTAGTTTATTTTATTTTTCCTGCTAGATTTGTTGCTCCTAGCATTATTATAGAAAAGTAGTTATTCAGTTATAGGCTTTTCTATATGCAGAAAATTCAGAGGAGCAGATACCACTCCTTTCATAAATGTTATGTACTCTTTTTTAGTTGTTCAATGTCTGGCTTTCCAAGATCCAAACTCATGATATGCTTAGCCATCAAGTTGAATGTAAATTGCAAAGAAGATTTGATTTGATTTGTTTTTGGAATGTTTGGTTTCCTTTTTGAATCTTTGGTTTCCAGATGTAAAATCTTTACTTTTTTTCTCATCCACTTGCAGCTTTTGATTTGAAAAAATGTCATCTAAATTTTTTTTCATTATAATATTCAAGTCAGCCTACAGCCTCACTTGAACCTTATTCTAATCGAATTATGTCAGAGAGAGATTATTCTAATGCATATTGTGCAGAAGAAGATTTGGTAAGAATGGAAGCTGATCCTCAAAACTCACACAATATTAATGAGTAAGGTAATGAATCAATAAATCAACAAGGCGACGATGAACAACAAGCTGAAAATAGAAAAGATAGAGACAGAGAAAGTGGGCAGCAAGGCACGAAGGAGACTAAAGAAGGCAAAAGAGCAAGAAAGTCTAAAGTTTGGGATGACTTTCGAGAGGTTGTAGTAAAAGGAAAAAGAAACACATAATGTATTGACTGCCTAATCAAATTTGTCCGGACTATAACAGGAACCACTTCTAACATGATAAAATACAGCAATAGTTATGTCAAGAGAAAGATTCATTTAAGACAATTATCACAAGCTTCTCAACAATCAATGCTCAATTTTCCACCGGCTGATGCACCTATATTTCCTATTCCTCCATTACATTCTTGGAAGTATGAGATGGAGATGATAAGAGAGGTAGCTACCAAATGGGTGTTGATGCATGAACATCCATTTAGCATTGTAGAGGAAGACAGGTTCAACTACATGCAGAAACTTGTAATGCTAGAGTGGAAAAAATATATTCGTAATACTTGTAGAGCTGATTGTGTGAAGATTTATGAAGTTGAGAAAAAGATATTAAAAAATCAATTGAAAAATTTTGAGAAAATAAGTTTAACCACTGATTTGTAGAAGTCCAAGAACCAGAATATCGAGTATATGGTGATCACGGGGCACTGGATTGATTCCTCTTGGAAGTTACAAAAGAGGGTCTTGAACTTTTGTCTATCTTCCTCCATCTCGAAGAAGTATTGACATTTCGGATGCTCTATTCAAATGTGTCAAAGAGTGGGGCATCGAGAGCAAAATTTTTACAATTTTTGTCAACAATATCTCAACTAATGATATGGCTATCAGGTTACTAAATAACACATTTTCTAGGTGTAACCCCTTAGCTTGTGGTGGCAAAATTTTTCATGTCCGATACTGTGCTTATGTGCTAAATTTGATGGTGCAAGATGCTCTCGGGAGATTCTAGACATAGTAGAAAATGATCGTGAAAGTGTTGACTTTGTGGGCCGTAGAGAAAGTTGAATAATTTTATTTTCAGAAATTATGCAACAACTTCAACTCCCCGGAAGAAAGCTTATTCATGATTGTAGGATACAGTAGAACTTTACATTCGAGATATTGAATTGTGCAATCAAATTAAAAAAAAAATTCCAATATATCGAGAACAAGACGTACAGTATTATTGTTGTCCATCAGAAGAAGATTGGAAGAAAGTTGAAATAGTATGCAGCATTTTAGAGACATTTTGGGCAACTACGAATATCATTTTAGTTAGCGACTATCTAACTTCAAACTTATTTCTTCAAGATGTTAAGAGAATAAAGCTAGTTTTGGATAGTAAGGCTAATGATAATGATGATTTTGTAAGAGTAATGGCAAGAAAGATGAAATTCAAATTTGATAAGTACTGAGGAGAATGTAATCTATTAATGGCTATGGCTGCTGTCTTAGATCTCCAACAGAAAATGACTACTATAGAATATTGCTTTCTTAAACTTTTTCCACCTAATGAAACTCAGCAAAACATTGAAAAGATTAGAAATGCAGTCTTTGAATTATACAATGAATATTAGCACGCAAATGAATTTCATGAGGGTAAAAATAGAAAAGATTCTCAGTTTGAGATGATTTTGATGAGTATGTGAGGGAATATTAGATTGGAGTACCTCAAGAATCTGAATTACTTGTCTATTTGGAAAAGGGTCCAATCAAGATTGATTCAAATATACCGTGACATAAATTTGATTGTTTGAATTGGTTGAAGAATAGCAGACTGACATACCTAATTTTATTTAAGATGACAGCTGATACCCTTACTATTTCTATTACTACAGTTGTTTCTGAGGCTACATTTAGCGTCGGAACAAGAGTGATCGACTCTTATAGAGCCTCACTAGCTCCTGAAACTGTAGAAATGTTGATGTGTGCCAGATATTGGTGCCGGAACCTTCATGGAGTGAAAAAGAAGATGAAAGTAAATTTATTTCAAATTCATGTTATTGATACAAAATTAGTTTATTGATTATTATTATTATTATTATTATAAAGGCAGCAAAAGAGATTCTACTTCCTATAAAACGAATGTGATAATTGAAAAGGTACGTAGTTTGTATTTAATATTTCGATTCCTTTTCAAATATTTTGTTTTAGATTTTACCACTATTATTTTATTACTTAAATTGTTTATTTTATGTAGGG